AATTTGACATTAAAATTTCTGATAATTAATTTGCAGACCCCAAACCGCTATAAATAGTTTACCTATCTTCTAAAATGTTACTTTAGTTCTTTTATTTTCTAAACCTTACAATCTAGTCCTGGAGCGTGACAAACCCCTCTCCTTAAAACAGTCTCGTCCCCAATGTAATACAGAGTTACTGCTTCAGAAAAAAAAAAAAAAAAACTGACAAACAGAAGTTTTACAGGGTTCAAACCTAAACGACTCACATCACAAGTTACTGTGATCAGCAACTTAAATAAACAAAGAAGAAACATAGATGAAAGTTTAAGTCTCGGCAGCCTGCAGCTTTCTGAACACCATTTTGGTGCTGAAATCTTCATCTTGGACAGCTCCAACATCAAAAACACCACCACAATTCCCATTACCACAACAGAAATTAGCAAAGCGTGCTAAGCAATAAGCCAAATAAAATTAGTATCATTGTTTACTTCCATTGACGCATTACTTCCTTCAGAAATACTTGTGGCCCTATTGAAACAAGTCACACTTTGAGTCCATGGACTTGTTTTCAGTTTGTGCCTCCAAATGGAATTTCAGCATATCCTGTCCTTACAACAAATGTCCCCTGATCACAAACAGTACCACTTTCATTTTGTAGTGGGTTTTGAGCAGCCATTTTCCAATATTTAGCAATAATGCTAATGTTGTTGCCATCACAAAATGAAGACAACTGCCACAGGTGAATAATTTCTTGCCTTAGTTCATACAAGCTCCCAGGCAAATAGTACACATGCTGCTATCCCTACCTTCGTCATTTCTAGAATATCAAATTCATTCCAGTGGATTGACAATGCTGGTCGCCAAAGATGTTTACAGTGCAGCTGATATCCACTTGCTAGTGTTACACTTCTATGCTCTTGTAGTACCATAGCTTCTAGCTAATCTTGAAATGCACATAGACCATTTTGCAAAACCCTGTGAGAAGACTTAACATCATTAATCTTTTCCTTAACTCCAAGGTCATACTTCTCAACAATTTCAGGCACAAATGATTTCATATTCAGCTCTGAACGGGTAGCCTCTTCTGCTAATATAGTGCTGCATTTATCTCCGATGTTGCACCAGCAATTTTGTCTTGATCTAGCTCGTGTGGAAGCTCAAATTTCATCACAGCCGAAAAATAAGCATGTAAAGGATTCCCCCCTTCATCAAGCAATTTCACAACCTTATTGTTTTCATAAATCTCAAGATATTCATCTTTTTTCAAAGTACCTTTTGAAATCATACTTCAGAGTACTATTAACTAACTGATGTGCAGTCTTTTCCCCCTGACCAATAGCAAGAAGACTCACAAAATATGCTCCACTCACAATACAAGATGTACTTCTACTAATTTCAGTTTTGATTTCACTATCTCTCTTACTTTTGATTTCTCAGTTCTGATATTTGGGGTGGCCGGAAAACAGAATAAAGGAGGAAATAGAGGTGGCCGGGAAATCGGGGGAAAACGGAGAAGGAGGAGGAAATTAGAATTTTCCAATTTGAAATTAAAATTTCTGATAATTAATTTGCAGACCCCAAACCGCTATATATAGTTTACCTATCTTCTAAAATGCTACTTTAGTGCCTCTGTTTTCTAGACCTTACAATCTAGTCCTGGAGCGTGACAGAAGGAAGCTATAGTCCGCAGAAGGAAGACCCTGAATTTGGGCCAATAGCCCAATAAAAGTATCAGCAAAAGAAAAAACTGCAATACCGCGCGCGCGTAATACGGCATCCCAAATTTTTCCTCTCTCCACCTTTCTCCCCCCCTCTCGTCTGGCTCTCATTTGCCCTTTTCCTTTACTTTTTTTTTTTTCATTTTTTTAAATTAGTTTTGAGAAAACATTTTTTTATTTTATTAATAAAAGGTATATTGTCATTTCTTTATTTTTTTATTCTTCACAAATTAAAATTTTATTTTTTTTAAATTTTTATTATTATTTTTTCTTTTTAATATATTTTTCTTTGAAATATTTTTCACAAATTATGTTTATATTTAAGTGTATAAGAATTTAATTTATATTTTTAATAAAATAATAATTTTATAATACTTTCATTTTGAAAAATCAATTTCACATCTCTTTTTAACTATTTGGAATTCATCATTCAAATTTAAATATAAAATTGCTATTTTTATTTATGTCAATTTTTTTGTTAAAAAGTGATTACAATCAATTTAAATTTATTATTACACTCTAAACATAATCATATATTTCTCTATACATAAATATATTTACATGTCTCCATATGCATATTAGTATTCCTTCGTATACATGTGTATGTCTTCATATACTTTATCATATGTCTTCAAATATTATATATATATATATATATATATATATATTCTAGTACACTTTTATATACATTATCACATACTTTTATGTATTTTAATATTTTCATATACATTTTCGTATCCTTTTATATGCATATCTACATATCTTCATATACACTATCGTATTATTCATATACATTCCCGTATATGTCTTCACATACATTCTTGCATGTCTCCATATACATACCCGTACGTCTTCATATACAAATTCATTTAATCATTTTATATCACACACTAAACCTTACTATAATCATATACATAATGTGTTTAGGGTTTAGGCCTGTCACTTAGGTTAGGATCTAGTGTTTTGGATTTAGGTTTAAGGTTTTAAGCTTTTCAATCAAGTTAGGATTTAGTATATGCGACATAAAATGATTAAAATAAGATTTTTTTTGGTAATTTAATTAGTTTAGGGTATCGTGTGCGATAATGTATATAAAGACATATGATAATGTATACAAAGGCTTACGAGATGTATATGAAAACATACGAAAATGTATATGAAGACATAAGGGTATATAAAGGAATGCGGCAGTGTATACGAAGGTGTATACGAGATGTATATGAAGACATACAAATATGTATATGATACTATGCATATGGAGACATGCGAATATGTATATATATATGAAGGCATACGAAAATGTATATGAATACATATAGGTATATAAAAACATGCGACAATGTATAACAAGGCGTACTGATGTATATGAAGGCATACAAATATGTATACGATACTATGCATATAGAGCCATGCGAATATGTATATGTGTAGGCTGATATATGATTATCTTTATAGTGTTATAATAATAAATTTAATTTTATCCTAATAATTTTTACCACATTATTTAAATTATGTGTCATAAACTTAATTAAGATATTTGAAATTTGATTTAAATAAAAATAGCAATTAATAATATAAATTTAACAATGAATTTCAAATTGTTGAAAAAAAACAAGTGTGATATTGGTTTTTCAAATGATAATATTATATTCATTTTTTAAAATGTAATTTTGCCAAAATATTAACTAAATTCTTATACACGTAAACATATGCTTACTTTGAAAAAAATATTTCTTTCTTTAAAGAAAAATATATTAATAAATAAATTAAAAAAGAATAAAAAATAATTTGTGAAGAAGAAAAAAAAGGAAATGAAAAATTCCAGTTTCCTAAAATTAAAATTAAAATTAAAAAAATTACAAACAAACAAAAAAAAATTAATTGGTTAATAATAATGTAATCATTTTATGTAAAAAATTAGATCTTAACCTAATCAAAATATTTAAACTCTAAAACATGGGGAAAAAATTAACAAAGTAATAAATCAAAATCATAAATCAATATACATAAAACATGCAAAATGTAAAAAAATATTATTATAATTATACCCACAAAAATGAATTAATAATATAGTTGCGTATATAGACATAACAATTGTACTGTATACACATTGTTGTCAATACATAAGTTTGAATAAAAATTTTTAATCTAAAAATATTAACAATGAATTTTGATGGAAAGATCTCATCCCGTAAATTAATTTGATATATATCACATTTTCTAATTAATTATATATTAAAAGATATAGTTATTTTTTCACCAAAAATAAGATATCTCTTGTGCATTGTGCCGTTTAGCACTTGCTGGCTCAAAATATATCTCTTGGGTATATCCCTTGACTATTTTTTTGTCAGCCGGGATTTGAATGTCATCTCTTCACTTTTCGCTTATAAAAAAAACAGACTCTGAAATCCGCTTAGTTTATATGGTGTGTGTAGTTTCTATCAAATTTTATAATCACTTAGTGACTCTCTAAATTAGAGGTCTTTCCTATATATAAAAAAAAAGATATGATTGTTTGAAAAACATGTTAAAAAGTAAAAAAAAAAAAGGAAAAATAAAATTAGTTAAATGGCTGCCGCGTTTGCCGAGAGCCACTCTCATTTCCGCTCGTGTGTTATATGCGCCCTGACTATGGGTAGATTTCTTTACCCATAGTAGGGGTAGGGTCCTTTTTGCCTATAGTCTGGCATAAATTAAATAAAAAAGTGAATGAGAGACTCTGATAACATCGTGCTCAAATCGCAATTCTATTCTTGACGATGGATTGTCAACCCAATACACATCCAACGGAAAACTAATAGCTAAAGAAGCCGTATAATCTGCTACAAAGTTTAACTCCTAAAAAATATATTTCATTTTCATAGCCCAATTCCTATTCATAAACTCACAAATGTCTTGAACTAAGCTCCCGTACATGCCAAAAAATCTCTTTTCTTCACCGTTTGATTTAACGCTGAGATTATCAACCTCAGCAATCACATTGCGATATTCAATAAATTAGTTTTTGATAACAGAAAATTTTAAATTTCGTTGATGATTTTTAAATTTCAGTCAAATTTAAATTGTTGTTGATGATATTCTCTTGTCTAATTGTTGAAGAAAATTCAGTCATGATAAATCATATGATTAAATTCATGATTAAGGGTAAATTTAGATGAGTTTATTCAAATTAAACAAAATAATAATATTATGACCAATTTTAAGTTGTATTTTGTATAATTGTTATCGTTCTTTTTTACTGATCATTGTTGCAGCAAGATTTTCAGTCAATTAATATAGTTGTTACCAGCAATGGACTCCGTATTAACTATTTCCAAAGAGGGAAAGGAAAAAAAAAATACAAAAACCCCTAAAAAGAATTCATGGAACCATGAAGAGTCGTCCGAGGACATATATATAGACGATCTTAATTCGTCATTATGAACTGTATAATATATATTTGATTACATTGGACATGAATTAGCTGGCTTTATTTAACTTTATATATATATATATATATATATATATATATATATACAGCTTACAACAGCACTTAAACTGAAGTTTATTTGTGATTAGAAATAATACCAACCAGCAAGCCAATGGTAACCTCTCACTTAAATTTTGGTTGACTAATAAGTAGTACAACCATATTGGAAAGTGAGAGTGGATTTTCCGACGGCATAAAAAGTGGTGTTATTAACGTACAGTATCTCAAGGATGACATATCCCCTCGCGTATCGTAGCTTCTTAGTCCCTCCAACAATCGCATATTCCCTAACCTTGTCCAATTGTGAATGTTGTCCTTGCATTTGCAACGTGCTACCACTGAACACTCCCTTTTCAATAATAAAAGAAATGAAAGCCACGACGTCATTCCCGTCAGGCGACGCGATCGTATATATCCCTAGACCCCGGCCGACGAGACATGATTTATTTGACACTTTTTCGGTCACCCGATTGTCGGTGGTGAGGATGTACCCGCGAGCCGTCGAATTGTCTGGTGCAGCACTCACAACACCGGAAGCATAGGGTGATGCAGGTCCATTATCTTGGAGGTAAACAACCATCTTTGTTTCTTTAGGTCGACAAGATGAGTACGAGGTTGCCATGGAACAGGCAAAGATAGTCAGCAACAAAGTTACACATAATTTGATGGATGACGACGAGAATTGTAAATGTCGTGCCATTTTATTTTTTTATTTTTTGAAAAAGAAGCAAAAGCAAACCGTTTTTATCTCAATGGCTTCCAATGTAACAAGAGAAACACCTTATTTATAGTTTTCATAAGATGTACGGTTAAGTTCAATAACTTTTTTTTTTTCCTTTTTTTTTCATTACTTTGGGTTAAATTGTCAAGACATTTTAAGGTTTGTATAGATTGAGGAGGACCAAATGGTAGGGAAGGTACTATCTCTAAAATAAAAATAAGCCAATATTCGTTGTGAGCAATTAAGATAGGAGAGGACCAAATGACTAATCTTGAAATAAAGAATGCTTAAGAAGTAATTAGGATTGAGCATATAGTTGTTTCTCACGATAGATTAAGATATGTTTGTGTGAAGCTCCATTTAAGCTAACATGTGCAACCATGTCAAATGATCCCACATCATCGATATGGTGAGAGTGAAGATGAGTTTATAAGCTTCAGCTGCCAAATTTACATAAAATTTGGATTAACCATTTTGAGTATAACAAAAAAAAACACTCAAATAGTTATTCGGGACAGGCCTAACAACTGATATAATAATATTTGCATTTTTTGTCTTAATTTTTGAATGAAATTTGATTTTAAACAAATGATTTATATGAAAAAAAAAGAGAGTTGAGAAAAAAATATACAATGACATTCAAGCAAGAATTTTAATTTAAATAATCAATAAACCTTGATATTGTCCAACTAATTATTATTGTACGAAAAAAATATAGAAAAAAAATCTATACACTATATGTTGAAAGAGAGTTTTCAATCGACCTGTGTCACTTAATTAGATAGTTCAGAGCTTTTGTTGTCACATGTCAAGTTTAGAGTTTTCATTTTGACACGTGTCAACACCAGAGATCCCCTTTCTTTAAAGTGTTAAATTTTTTTGTAAATTGGTTATTTCAATATAATTTTCACCCATGCATTTCAGCCATCTTTATTACATTTCATATATATTTGATTATTTACTTAATTAATAATGAAAACCCCATCTTTTCCATTACTAATTATTTTTAGTTTTTTTTTTATTGGTTGCTAAGAATAATTTTTCACACATTTTAAAGCTGTGGTAGAATTTTTTTAAAAAAAATCATAAGAATTATTTTCAGTGGATGAAAAACCGTAAAGTATGTATAAAATGTAGAATTTTTTAAGGGAAATCTAACCAAAAATAATAATAATAATAACACTAAAGAGATGTTGTATAAACACTATATATCTTTACATTTCTTTTTTCCTTTTGAGTTCACTAAAACTTTCATTTTGAGTTTATAAATTTATTTGTAAAACTTTACAAAATTACACTACCAATTTATTGTCAATTTTATCAATTATTACTTCTAAACTTTTACTACGAATGAATCATACTAATATTTGATCTTTCAAAATATTTGCTATGTTAAAAAAAAAATATATATATATATATATATATATAAAGAAGATGAATGTAATTTACACAACAAAACACGGACAAGAATTATTATATCACAAAACCTGACACAAACTTTATTATATGAAGAACGCTTGGCTCACATGTGAACATAATTTATGATTTAACGCAATACATATAACACAATCCGTGAACACACGGAGATAACTCTAGTAACATTGTATTGAGGTTAAAGCATATAATAATAATAATCTAAACCAAAGTCCAAAAAAATTGGTTAAAAAATGGGAAGCTCTAATTCCCCCTATTGAGTATTTTACCAGTTTGGCAAGGAATTAATAAATGAGGACCATCAATTACACGTTAGTGGTAAAATAAAATGGCGAACTACATTTTACTCTCAAATTTTGGTCCCATCTACCATAAATTCCTCAACTTTTGACAATACTACTATATACACCATGAACAGGGTTTAAAAATTAAAATGACTAAAACAACCATTTTTTACAAACACTTCATTTTCTTTTCTTTTTCTTTCAATTTGTTTTTTTTTTGTTTTTCGATCAATAAAAATGAAAATCACTTAATTTTTATTTTTATATTTAACTATAACATAAGTTAATATGTGAAAGTTAATCTATGATTAATAATTAATATACTGTTATTATGCTTAAAAATTAACTTATGAAAATTATTTCATTTCAAAAGGCATGATATAGTTAATTTTGAAAATTCGCATTAATATAAAAGAAAGGCTGTTGCTAAAGGCAGCTTGAATTTACTTCATACAGCTTATTAAATTGACTAAAATACTCCTATAAAGCTGCACGAAATAAAATCAAGTTGCGTTTCGCATTACTCATTTTTCTATCGCTTTCAATGTCTTCGAGATGGACAACCTGTAGAAATATGATATTCTTACTGCGTTTTCATTCGTTTTTAATTTTTAAGTTTATTATTGTGTTCTCATCGGAAAAAATTATGCTCGTTGATGAGCCTATATGGACAATGTACTGTAATAGTAGGAAAGTTGGGTATGGCCTGAAAAGAGTGCCAACTGATGAGGATTTGCATGTCATACAGTTACTTCAGGCAGTTTCCATGGGTATTGGAGTGTTTCCCAGCAGAGATCACTCGGAATTCTTCATCATCATCAGAAGGGGGCAGTCGAGAGTTGACGTGCTTGAGAGCTTTCTTCGAGAGAATGGTTGGATGAAAGGACTTCGAAACTTACAAAAAGTTAAATCTAGATAGTACTAGTGCACCTGATATTCTTTATAAGAGTTTGGTACATTGTTTTAGAATTAAATTTGTTCAATTAGTATTGTTTTCTAAGAGATTTGATACATGACCTTTTCTTTAATTTCAGCTTCTAATGTCTTTATCGATGATGTTTCATTGGTTCACATTTGGTATCAGACACCCTTGAAAACTATGAGCTAAATCCGCACATTTTTGTTTCACATTCCACGTAAGAGCAAGGAATAGAAGCAAAGAATTAAAGGATTCAATAAGCGCAAAGCCAAGGTGTAACAAATTAAAGCTGGGAACAACGCAAAGTAAAGAAGTAAAATATATATAGCAGCAAAATCAAGTTCATCGAATCCAAATGATACTAATAAAACTTTTATACTCTGGTCAATGCGAATGGTTTGTATCCAAGTAAAATAATATTCATAACAATAATAAGAACATCATATCAAACAAAATGTCAACAGCTAAAAAACTACATCCTCATCAAGGATCAGTAACCTCAAATATCCTGGTTGGACCATTCGAACCTACCATATTTCCCCAGGCTTGTGTTGCTTCTAAGTACTGTAGATCCCAACCACGGACACTTTCATGACAATAATCATACCAAAAGGCATTTATGACTGACATTGGAAAATTTTCACATAAATCTAGTCGAACAAAGTGGTGGTAATCCCTACCTATATGAGCAATAACAATTTCCATGTCCGGGCCATTCTTGTTTGCGGGTGCACGGAACGGCAAACAAGTACAACATGTTTACTTCTGACCATCCCCGACCCCGATAAAGACAACACATGCATTCCACAATGTGGCAACAACAAACAAGTCATCCATGCAACCATGGTAGGTATGCAGTGACTGATAAAGTTAATTTGCAATGCTATCCCTTGCATCTCGCCACAAATCCTAATCATTATATATGTATGTTGCCACGACGCGGAATCCACAGTTTCCGTATGGCTCGACATCTAGATAATCTACAATGAAAGGAATTAGGAAAGGAGGTATCTTGTTGAAATGCAGCCATTGAGTAAATCACGTCCTCCTACACAATAAACATTAAATTGTACAATTTATGACATATATAGGAAACAAATTGTGAACAGAAAATCATATATAAGGATAAGTGATAATACCTGATGGAGAGGAAATAGGATCAGATGACATAGTGCGACCACGTCCACGTGAATAATCACTGTTGCGACCTCGACCACGCCCACACGAAGAACTACTGCTGCGACCTCAACCATGCCCACGCGAAGAACCACTGCTGCAACCATGCCCACGGTTGGATCTGTCCTGCCACGGACGCTTCCACGCACACGGCTCATGCCTAGTCGAGGAACTCATCCTCGGTCGACCACGAACTGTGGTGTTCACATCCGATTTCAGTGTAGCCTCTTTGATCCGGGTGTAGGTGATGGTCTAGGATAATGTTGACATTGCGCACAACTGCCGAATGGCTTCAACTGACCTCATCAACAAGGGATTGAAAATGTAGCATGTCCTCCAAGACATTACACGACTTGCCGGTGTAGAGTTGATTTCAAGCGAACTCCAAAACCGTGGAGTTGTGCGACACTGATCGGCGTTTGCGAGTTAAAGGCTTTCTTTAGCTCACATGCACAAGGTATACAATGAGTGGATCTCAAGAAACAACCGCAGCTCTTGTCAAATTCATCACTCACATATCCCATCCGAATCATCTCGACATACAACAATCTCTAACAGTAATGGGAAACTTGGCACCTCAAGTAGTTGAATGGAAACCCTGAAAACTGGACTGGACTCTTGCGCCGTGAAGTTTCAAGTGTTAACCTGATAATAAAACAAACATTTATATTAATAAGTATATTAATACAACTAATCAAAAAATTACTAACTGTTAAAAAAAAGAGAGTAATAAACCTGATTTCACGAATCTGAGCTTCAATCTCCTTGTGGACCTTCATCCATATAGTGTCCAATGAACCAGTGGACGAGTTTAGCCATTGTTTTAGCGATGCATGCGCACTCTGTAGTAGTGTTGCCAAAGTGCAACACATTGTTCGTCCATGCACGAACGCACTTCTCCTATACTTTGGCATCATCAAGTCTCTTGCACTTGCATATTCTAGATATTTTGAGATTCAATGATTTTGTTCCATGCATTGTTCTTGAATATTGCTCCCCATGACTTCTTCCCCATAATTTTTCCAACACGAATTTCAACATCTTTGTTGATGTGCCAAGTACATAGCAAGTGGGAATATTGCGGGACCTAATCGATTTCATCAACCCCAACTCCCGATCAGTCATAATTGCAGTGGGATGCACATCACTACTAATCAAACTCCTTAACTGCTGCAACACCTAACAATAGCTTGCCTCAGTTTCCTCCTTGATCAT